CGCGTCGTTCCTGCTGTGTTTTGTCTGTTGTCCATTAATTGTTTGTCCTTTCATTTATCCATTCAAGATACCAGGTTTCTGTCCATTGAATGCCCTGGTTTTCCTGTCAGTTCTCTTTACATCAGCCTTTGAATCAACCCACCCAACTTCCAACTTGCTATCCACCTGCCCAACCATCCCTCTGTCTTTCCATCGGTCCAGCCATCACCCAACCATCCATCCATTCCTCTGTCCTTCCACCAGTTCATCCCCCAACTCACATATCCAGCCTTCCACCCTCCCGAGCATCCTGCCCCACGCTGTGCCCCAGGGCCACATCCAGAGCCTGCTGCAAACCAAGCGGGGTGCACATGTATACCCAGAGTGTGAGCTGGGCTGGGCTGGGGAGTGCTGGGGGTGCTGGGCTCATCCTGACCCCCCTTCCTGCCTCACAGCCTGCACTGAAGCCTACAGCAACGCAGAGGAGCAGTTTGGCTGCGTGACCGGGTGCCGCAAGCAGCTGCCCGAGGTGGAGAGCAGGAAGGAGAAGGTGAGGGCCGGGGAGATGGGGAGCCCCCATTCACCCCCTTAACCCACCCAGCCTGTCCCTGGTGCCACCAAGCCCTGTCCTTGCATCTGGCTTCTTCCCCAAAGGGTCTGAGGGCAGGAGGTGGCAGGGGCTGGATGTAACAGTCCACATATGCAGCCCATCCACCCATCCATCCATCCATCCATCATCCTATCCACCATCCATCCATCCATCCACCCATCCCACCATCTCCAACTTGTCTACGAAGAGCAGCTCACTTGAGTCTCCCTCACTGTCCCCATGGACACCCGGTGGTACCTTCTTTGACTGTGGCTCCTTGGGGCTCTGTCAGCTCCATCTCGTACATCTGCTCCCAGCCCAGTGGCGGCTCCTCGGTGCCACCCACCCCTGCAGCAGAAGAGCAGCGGGTGGTTATGGGATGTCCCCCTGCCACCTTGTCCCTGTCTCCAGCCCCATTACCCACCTGCTGTCACCAGGAACGTGTAGGACTTGGAGACGTGGCCCCGCACCAGGCCGTGCACCTCCACGCGGTACATGGCCCCTGGCACCAGTCCTGGCACTCGGGCCAGTGCTGTGTCACCCGGCACCTGCAGCTCCCCCTCCGGCCCCTCCCCGCGACACCCA